ATAGGGGAAAAAAAGGAAAATCAAGGGGAAAAAGGGAAAATCGAGGGGAAGAAAGGGAAAATCGAGGGGAAGAAAGGAAAAATCAAGGAAAAAATGAGGGGAAATCGGGGGGAAAAGGAAAAATCAGGGGGGAAGGGAAAATCGAGGGGGAAATGGGAAAATCAAGGGAGAAATGGAAAAATCAAGGGGGGGAAAGGGAAGATCAGGGGGAAGAAAGGGAAAACCAGGGGGGAAAAGGAAAATCGACGGGGAAAAAAAGGAAAATCAAGGGGAAGAAAGGGAAAAATCAGGGGTAAACGGGAAAATCAAGGGGGGAAAAATGGAAATTCGGGGGAAAATGAAGTTTCTCGTGCCCCGGGGGCGGGGCGGGAGTTTTTACCCGGTTCAGGCGCAGCGGGGGCGGCCCCGGGACTGCTCCGGGAATTCCGCGCTGCTCCGGGAATTCGGGAATTCCGGGAATTTCGCTCTGCTCCAGGAATTCCGGGAATTCCGCGCTCCGGGCCGGGAGCAGCGCGGAGCAGCAGCAGCAGGAAGAGGAGGAGGAGGAGGAGGAGGAAGGCGCGGGGTGCCCGGCTCGCGGCGCCTCCGCAATTCCCAAATTTCCATCGTTTTCCATGGAAAAGGCCCGCGGGGTTGCGGGGGGAGGGGGGGGGGGGGGGAGTGCGCGGAGGGAGGGGAAGGGAGGCAGGGATTGAAAAATTCCGAATTTTAACAAAAATAACAGAGCTGGAGGGGGTTTCCTCATTTTTTAGCTCTTTTTCCTCATTTTTATCTCTTTTATCTCTTTTTCCTCTCCTTTATTTATTTTTCCTCCCATTTTAATCTGTTTTTCCTCTCTTTCATCCAAGTTTTTTCCTCCGTTTTATCTCCAGTTTTTTTTTATCTCTGTTTTTCCTCTTTTATCTCGGTTTCCCTCCCTTTTTAAATCTCTTTTTCCTCTCGTTTATCTCCCTATTCTTTCTCTTTCTTCCCCCTTTATTGGCTCCTTTTCCCCTCATTTTTATCCCCTTTTTCCTCTCTTTTTAATCTCCATTTTCCTTCTTCATAATCCACTTTCCCCCTCTTTTTATCCGCTTTTCCCTTGTCTTTTAATCTCCTTTTTTCTTATTTTCAATCCCCTTCCCCCCCTTTTTTCTCTCATTTCCCGCTCTTTTTTCCCCTTTTCCCCTTTTTTCCCCTTTTCCCCTTTTTTCCTCCCCTTTTCCCTTCTTTTACCCCATTTCCCCCTCTTTAATCTCCTTTTCCTCCCCTTTTTTCCCCCTCTCCCATTTTTCCTCCTTTCCCTCTACTTTTCCCCCCTTTTTCCCCAAAAACCTCTTGAATTCCGGGCCGGTTCCTGACTCTTTGAAATTCCGCCTTCACCCGGTGGAGGGATTAAAAAAACCCTTTAAAATAGATCAAAAATTTAAAACAAATTATTTTAAAATGTTTTAAACAGCAAAAACGCAAAATAAATTATTTTTTAAAATTTAAATATAAAAATAATTATTAAAAATAGGGGAAAAATCAAAAGTCGATGATTAAAAATGAAAAATAAAAAGAGCAAGAGGGGCCGGGGGTCCCTCCCGAGCCGCGGAAATTCCCGGCGCAGATTCCCGGGATTTTCCGCCCCCCTCCCTTCCCAAATCTGGATTTTTATTTTTTCTGGGGGCGTCACGTGCAGGGGGCGGCGGCCGCTCCTCAAATCCGTGACCCCAGGGTTGGGTTTTTATTTCTTTTTTTTTATTTTTTGGGGTTTTTTTGCGGGGCGAGGCGGCAGCGGCACCTAGCGGGATTTCTTCTTTTTGCCCAATTTTTTCTTCCCTTTTCTCCTCCTTTCTTCCTTTTTTTAAGTTCATTTCTTTATTTTTAGAATTACTTTTTACTTTCGCCCTTTATTCGAGGGCACATTTCTTGCGCGCCTCTGCGCGGGGTTGCTTTAAATAGCAAAATAACTTTAATTTAAATTATCTATTTTCCCCTTTTTCTTTTTTTTTTTTTATTTTCTAAATTTCCCCTATTTTTTCTTTAATTCCTTTTCCCCTTTTCTTCCCTTTTTCCCCTTTTCTTCCCTTTTCCCGCTTTTCTTCCCATTTTAAATTTTTTTAATTTTTATTTTCTGCTATTCCTTTTCCTTATTTTAATTTCTTTTCATTTCCCCCTTTCCTCCCTTTTTCTTCCCTTTAATCCCCTTTTCCTCCCTTTTAATTTTCTTTTTCTCCCCATTTTCCTCCCTATTTTCCCCTTTTCCTCCTTTTTTCCCCCTTTTACCCCCTTTTTTCTCCTTTTTTCCCTTTTTCCTCCCACCCCCCTTCCAAACCTTCTCTTCCTTTTTCTCCCTAAACAAAAACCACACAAATTTTCAAATAAATTAAATAAAACCTCATTTTTCCCGGGCCATTCCGGGATATTTTTGGGCCACTCCTCCTCCAGCGCTCCAAAGTTTACATTCCTTTTTGCATTCCTTGGATTTTTTAAATTTTTATTTATTTATATTTTCTCCCTCACGGTCTTTCCTCGGTTTGTTTTTTTTCCTTTTTAAATTTTTTTTTTATCTTTTCCCACAAGTTTTTGCTGCCAACTCTTCCTCAAAGGCACCGGGGGGGGGAAAGAAAATCCTGAAAAAATCGGAATTTTCGACCCCCCCAGCCACTCCTGCTGCTCCTTCCCGGCGCTTTTTTTGGCTTTTTCTTCACTTTTTTGGGGTTTTTTGGTGGTTTTTGTTCTTTTTTTTTTTTTTCCCCTCATAAATTCCACCCTGGAGAGAGGCAAAGGACGGAAGGGAGAAGAAAACTCCCCGGGCTCCTTTTTATTAGGATTATTTCCCTTTTTTTACGATTATTTTCCTTTATTTTATGATCATTTTCCCTTCTTTTACGATTATTTCCCTTTTTTAACGATTATTTCCATTTTTATGATTATTCCCTTTTAAAAAACAACAATTTCCTCTTTTTTTACAATTATTTCCTCTTTTCGTGCCTTTTTTCCCTGCTTTGAGTCACTTCACCGCCAAATCTTTGCTGTTTCCTTTAAAAAATAAACCTTATTTATTTATTTTTATTTTTTTCCCAGGGATTTCTCACTCCGTGACCTCCGGAATTCCCAGAAAATCTCCCAAATACGACAAAAATCAGCTTTTTATCCATTTTTTCGCCCCGCGTTTCATTTCCCGGTGTTAAATCCACAATTTCCGATCTCCTCGAGGGTGAGGCTCTGGATAAAAAATGCTAAAAAATGCCAAGAAATGCTAAAAAATTACATTTTTTCCCCTCCCTCATTCCCTGGAGAGCTTTTTATTGGGATGAAATCGAGGGAAAAGGGGTGGGGAAAAGCCTCGGGGCGCAAAACAAACCCCCAAAAAATCATTAATTAATTAATAAAACCCACATCCATCATCAATAAATCACAAATAAATCACCGATAAATCATAAATAATAAAAGAGAAGGCGAACTTTTCACCCCCCGGGGGATAAAAAATAAAAAGGAGGGGAAATAAGGAATCTCGGAACTTTGGAAATACACTTTTTTCTTTTTCTTTTTTTTTTTTAATTCATGGTAATTCCCGCTGGCACCGAACAATTACACGAGACTCGCCAAGGAGACAAAGCGAAAAATGTCTTTTTTCCCTCTTTTCCTCCTTATTTCCCCGTCTCTCTTTATTTTTTCCCTTTTTTTTTTGTTTTTTTTTATTTTTTTTTTGAAGGCGCAAGAAGAAGGAAAAGACGAGACCAGAGAAGGGGGGGGGAGGCGATTTTTGGGGAGGAAACGCGAAATAAAAAATGAATTTTCCAGCACAAGGTTCCCACTGAAGCTCAGAGGCCGCTGGGGCAACTTTTCAAAAATAATATTCCGATTTTATTTCATTAAATACTCGACAGAAAGTCCAGTCCGGACTGGGGGACTTTATACATGAGAGGGTGTAACACAAGAATTTTCAATTTTATTTATTTTTTAAACGTTTCTCGCCGCTTTTTTTTTTTTTTATTTTTATTTATTTATTTATCTCTACCTCTATGAACTCCATTCACTTTTTTTTGGGTTTTTAATTATTTTTTCCCTTTTTTTCGAACATTACAGCGCTAAACATAAATATAAATACAGGTACCACGAACACAGAGAAAAATATTCACACAGAAACCGTCACAGTTTGTGGATGCGGTGATGAGCCCAGGTAGCTGCTTAAATACGAGGAGGAAAAAAAGGCGATTTCGGGCCGGAAAAGCGCTTTTTTATGGCATTTTCGCGAGGAAAATCTGATTTTTTCTCACCGGGAATCGCTGAGGTTTGGGGGGGACAAGCTGGGGGCGGGGTCGCCCCCATTTCTGCCCAGTTTTGCCCCAATTTTTGCCCAGTTTTTTGCCCGATTTTTGGGGTGGGGGGTGCGGCCGGGATGAGGAGGAGAAGGGGGAGATTTTGGGGGGGGGGTTCGTGGGTTTTTGAGGAGCTCTCTCAGTAATTAATTAATTCATTAATCAATTCCTCCTCGTTCATTCATCCATTGATTTCTCCGCATTAATTAATTAATTTCTCCACATTCATTCCTCCGCATTCATTCCTCCACTTTTTTCATTTTTCCCCCCACTTTTTCTTTTTTTTTCCCCACTTTTTCCTTTTTTTCCCACTTTTTCTTTTTCCCCCACTTTTTCCTTTTTTCCCCACTTTTTCTTTTTCCCCCACTTTTTCTTTTTTTCCCCCATTTTTTCAGTTTTTCTTCACTTTTTCTTTCCCCCCCCACTTTTTCATTTTTTTCCCTCCACTTTTTCACCCTTCCGCTTTCTCTCCTCTTTTTATCCGCTCCTCACTCACTCCTTCACTTTTCCCCTCTTTCATTCCTCTCTCACTCCGCCCCACCCTTTAATTTTATTTATTTCCCATTTCCCCACACTATTTTCTCCCTCCCCGCCAACATTCCCCCCCACCCCATATAATTATAATTTTTTAATTATTATTTTTTCCCCCCCAAAGATAAATACCAGGAAGGACAAAAAAAAAAAAAAATTAAAAAAAAAAAAAAGGAGGAAGAAAAGGGATGAGGAGAGGAGAGGAAGGGGGGGAGAGGCAGGAAAATAAAATCCATCACTCCTTCTTCTCCTCCTCTGTCTCATCGCGCTTCTCCTCCTTGGCCAAGCTGTCGGCGGCCGCCGCTCCCCCTCCTCCTCCTCCTCCTCCTCCTCCTCCTCCTCCTCCTCCTCCTCCTCCTCCTCCTCCTCCTCCCGCGGCTCCGGCCAGCGTGGAGCTGAGGTTTGTCTCTTTTTTCCACTTCATGCGGCGGTTCTGGAACCAGATTTTGATCTGCCGCTCGGTCAGGCAGAGCGCGTTGGCGATCTCGATGCGGCGCCGCCGGGTCAGGTACCGGTTGAAGTGGAATTCCTTCTCCAGCTCCAGCGTCTGGTACCGGGAATAAATCTGTCGGCCCCGCCGGCGGTCGGCCCCGTAACCGACTCCTAAAGAAGCCGAGACAAAACAGACTAAAAATCGTCAGAACGCAGCGCCCTGCGCTCGCCCTGCCCCTCCCCACCCCCACCCGCCGCCCAAAAAACGAATAAAAAATGAAATTACAGCGCTCCCCGTCCCCGCGGGCTCCGCCGGGCTCCAGCGGGGCTGCCGTGGGATTTCGGGGTTCGGGCGGTGAATTCGGGGCGCAGGCCGGGCTTTGGGGGGTTCAGGATGGGGTTTGCGGGGGTTAGGCCGGGCTTTGGCTGTTGTTGTTTGGTCTAGGTTTTGTGGGGGTGTAGGCACGGTTCTGAGAGTTTTTACCTGGGTTTTGCAGGGGTTTAGCCACATTTTGAGGGGTTTAGCCTGGATTTTGCACTGTTTTAGCCCAGATTTTGTGGGGTTTAACCCGGATTTCGCAGTGTTTTAGCCCAGATTCTGAGGGGTTTAGCCCGGATTTTGCACAGTTTTAGCCCAGATTTTGAGGGGTTTAACCCGGATTTCACAGGGTTTTAGCCCAGATTTTTAAGGGTTTAGCCCGGATTTCGCAGTGTTTTAGCCCAGATTTTGAGGGGTTTAGCACGGATTTCGCAGTGTTTTAGGCTGGATTTTGAGGGGTTTAGCACGGATTTCGCAGTGTTTTAGGCTGGATTTTTAGGGGTTTAGCACGGATTTCCAGGGTTTTAGGCTGGATTTTCAGGGGTTTAGCCAAGGTTTTGCGGGCGTTCAGCCCAGATTTTAGCCCCGATTTTGTGAGGTTTTAGGCCATGTTTTGAGGGGTTTGGCCAAAATTCTGCGGGGGTTCAGCCCAGATTTTGCAGGTTTCAGCCCAGATATTTGGGGGTGGTTAGGCCAAATTTTGAGGCTTTAAGCACAGATTTTGGTGGGTTTTAGCCCACATTGCGCAGGGGTTTAGCTCAGACCTTGCAGCTTTAAACCCGAATTTTGAGGGTTCTAGCCCAGATTTTGAGGGTTCTAGCCCGGATTTTGTGGTATTTTAGACATTTTGCGGGGTTTTAAACTGGATTTTGCGGAGTTTTAGGCCAGATTTTTAAGGGTTTAGCCCAGGTTTTGAGAGTTTGAGCCCTGATTTTGCGGGATTTAAGCCCAGACTTGCCCTGCGTTCCCTGGATTTGGGGGAGCCGGGGACGGCGAGGAAGGGGCGGCTTCCCCCCGGCCCCAGCTCGTGCCACCCCAAAACCTTAAAACCCCTAAAAAAAAACCTCCTAAAAACCCTAAAAAACCCCTAAAACCCCAACCGCACAAACTTCTCTCCTCACCCTAAACCCCGCTCGTATTTTCTTTCCCCGCTGAACTCGGCGAGCGGAGCCGGCCGCGCCGCTTTAGTTTTATTTCCCTATTTAATCCCACTTTACGATCGCCGATATTTCACCGCCGGGCGAAACCTTTTAATTAAAACCGATCCTAACAAGCCAAACCCGAATAAAAAGCCAGCCGCAAACTGCGCGAAATTATTGTTTTTATGGCGCCATAAAAACCCCATCCTACCGAGGTGCCGAGAAGGGAGGGGAGGGCTGGGGAAGGGGTGGCGGTGGCGGCGGAGAGGAGGGGGGGAAAGGCCATAAAACCCTCCAAGTTTATTTAATTTATCCCCCCGCCACGAGCCATAAAAAACTTACCACTGTGCGAATTCATGCGCTGCATCCAGGGGTAGATCTGGATGCCGGATTTCTGCTCCTGAGCCGCGCCGCGGCTCTGCTCGCTGGGGAAATCCTGCGCGATGGAATTGGGGGTGCCGTGCGCCCCGACCGAGCTCTGCCGGCAGCTGCTCAGCACCTCCTTGTCCTGGTAGAAGGCGTTGGAGCCGTACTCGTAGGGCGAGCGGCCCGAGCCGAACACCACCGGGTTGTCCTGGGGCGAGTAGAAGGGCGAGGAGTAAATCCGGTTCTGCGCCACGGCCGCGCCGTAGCTGCCGAAATGCCGCACGGGGTCGTAGCTGGAGTTGAGCGCGGCCACGTTGGGCAGCACCTCCTGGCCGCCGCCGAGGTGGCACGACAAGGACGGGTTGGTGAAATAGGAATTCATCGCCGCTCCGCCGTGGTTTCGGGGCTTTTTTATTTTTATTTTTTTGGGGTGAGTTTTTTTTTTTGCCTTTTTTTTTTTCCTTTTTTTTTTTTTTTTTTTTTTTTTTTTTTTTGGGGTGTTCTCCGCGCTCTCGCTGGGGGTTTTGTCCGTCTGGTTTGTAATTTTTTTTTTTTTTGCTGCGTTCGCTGGGGTTGTTCTGGGTTTTCTTCTTCTTCTTCTTCTTCTTCTTCTTTAAAATATTTTTTCCTCTATTTTTTGTCTATTTTCCTTTTTTCTCTATTTTTCCTATTTTTCCCTCTATTTTTCCCTTTCTTCCTCTATTTTTCCTCTGTTTTCCCTTTTTTCTCTATTTTTCCCCTCTATTTTTCCTTTTCTTCCTCTATTTTTCCTGTTTCCCCTCTATTTTCCCTTTTTTCCTCTATATTTCCTCTTCCCCCTCTATTTTTCCTCTCTTCACCCTTTTTTTCCTCTATTTCCCCCTTTTCCCTCAGTTTATTCCTCTATATTTCCTCTTTTATCCCCCTATTTTCCTCTTTCATGCCCCTATTTCCCCCTTTTCCTTCCTCTATCTTTCCTCTTTTCTTGCGCTATTTTTCCTCCTTTTTTTTCCTCTTTATCCCTCTGCTTTGCCTCTTTTATTCTTCAGTTTTCTCTCTTTCCTCCCTCTATTCCCGCTCTGTTATTTTTTTTATTATTCCCTCTATATTTCCCCTTTACCTCTTTCCCTTCTATTCCCCCTTTATTTCCCCTCTATATTTTTCTCTATTTCCCCTCTATTTCCCCCTCTAATTTCTTCTATTCCCCAATTCCCCCTCTATTTCTCCCTCTCTATCCCCGCCTCGCCACAACCACTTAATTCATTAATATCTCTATATATTATTATTTTTTAACCCCCCTCCTGTCTCTCTCCCTGCCCGTCTCTCTCTCTCCTTTTTTCCCGGCGCCACCTGGGCCCGTGCGATTTCTTTTAATATTTATTTCAGTCTCCAGTTTGTAGGGAAGTGTAGGATTGTTATAGGGAAGGCTCTGCTCCAGGACAGACAGAATGACACAGTCAGCTGACCCGGCCCGGGCCAATGGCGAGCCGCGTGTCAAAAAGGGAAAAAATGGCTTTTTTCTGCTCGCCAGTCCCTACTTGGAACTAAGTGGGCATGGAAAGTAACTCCGGCACCCCCAAAAAATAAAAAACACCCCCCCACCCCTGCGGGATTTGGGGTGGTGCTCACGGCGACCTAAAATCCCTAAAATTCAATTTTTTTTAACCCAATTTTTATTTTCCTCCCCGCCTCCCTCTTATTTATTTCGCTCAGATTCGCCAAAAAAAAAAAAAAAAATCTTTACCTCTCTCTCTTTTTTTTCTTTTTTAAATTTTATTTAGCTAAACGCTCAATGCTCCTTTTTATTCTCTTTTATTATGATTTTTTAAAAAATGATTATCATAATTATTATTCTTTCCAAGAAAGCTGCGCTTAAATATCTCGTAATAAGCAGCTCCGAATTCCCAGCAATAAATCTCAGGCGAACACAGAATATTAAGCCATAAATTACCCTCTCTCTCCCTCTTTTTATTTTTTTTTAAATCCTTTTATTTCCTTTTATTTTTATTTAATTTATTTATTATTTTTAATTTTTTAAAATTATTTTTTCTCCCTTTTCCCCCCCACTTTCTCCTGCTCTGAGTATTCGCATTTAAACAACAAAACGGGGGAAATAATTCAATTAAAAAAGGAAGAAACAAATAAAAAAAGGGGAAAAGGGGGGGGATAAACATGGCGACGTCTCCATGGATAACGCGGGATCGGGAGCGCTCCCAAACTCCTGGAAAAGGGCAAAAATTTGGGGGAAAAAAGGGATTTTTTGGGGAAAAAAACCCCAATCCCAGCCGCGTTGGGAGCTGGGATTTCCCCTCCGCTTTTGGGCCATTTCTCCAGGTTTTGGGGCATTTCTTGGCTTCCCCAGAAAGGAAAAGTGGCAGAAAAAGGCGGAAAAAAAAGCGAATTTGGGGTGGGGAGGAGCGGCCCGGGCCGGCGATTCGGAGTTTGCGGCCATTCCCAAAGTTGGATCGGGAATATTTCCAGCCCAAATCCCCCCAAAATCACCCCAAAATCAGCCCCTACCTGCAGCCCCCGCAACACCGCGGCGCTCCCAAAAAAATCCGATTTTTACCGGGGGAACCCTCGGCCTCCTCCTCCTCCTCCTCCTCCTTTTTGTTGTTCAGCCACCTCGGCTTTTATTTGTAAAAAATCCCAAAATTCGTCGGGAAAGCGTCGGAAATTCACCCCAATCTTGATTTATATTTTTGATTTTTTTTAAATTTTTTTTTTTAAGATTTTTTTTTTTTTTGGCTGACAAAGCAGAGCCCCGGGGGGGTTTTGGGGAATATTTCGCCCCCCCAGCTATGACAGGAACCCGGATGCCAGCGGATTTTATGCTCTTTTTCCTCTGGCTAACAAAGCAAAGTCATCAATGGCAGCAATAAAACCATAAACGGGACCGCAACTGGAAAAAAAAAAAACCAAACACAAAACACCAAAAAACCCACAAAAAACACCCAAAAAACATCCAAACCCAGCCAGGAAGGGAGGAAAAAATCACAATTTTTGGCCCCAAAAGTGGCGGATGGGTGGGGGGGTTCCCACCTTGGGGGAGAATTCCGGGCGTTTCCCCCCAAAATTCACAAATTTCCGCTGCTTTTTTTTTCTCACTCTGGTTTTCCAAAATCCCCCCGGAGTGTGGTGGGGGGGGAGAAAAAATCGGAATTTTGGGAGGATTTTGCTGCTTTATTTTGGTTTTCCAACCCCGGGTGGGGTTTGGGGGAGTCAGGGAGCCCAAAATTGGGGATTTTGGGGGAATTTTGGGGGAATTTTGGGGTACCCCAAAGGCCGGGACGGGGCGGGGGGCGGCAGGGCCAACAACTTTGGAGGAGTTTTCCTCAAAAGAAACTTCTCCTTCCAGAGCCTCCTTTTCCCTTTTATCCCTAATTTTTAATTTTCCTGATTTTTCCTGCTCCTGCTGCTCCTTCCCCTTAATTTTTTCCCTTTATTTCGCTTCCCACACACACTTTTTTTCCCGTTTTCCCCGCTTTTTTCGCTTCTCTTTGCTTTTTAAAAATTTTATTTTAATTTTAACTATTTTTAAATTTAATAATTTTTATTTTTCCTCATTTTTTTCCCTTCCCAAGGTGGGCTGGAGACCTGCGGGATAAGCGTGGGACCGAGCCGGGGGAAGTTTAAGTGTTTTATGACTTCTCTAAACAGAGGGCAAGTCCTAAAAGTCTGCTCGATTTATAGACAGCAGAAAGCAGCTGCCGGAAAAAAAACCCAAAACACATCCACCCTCCAAACCTTGATTTTTTAAAGGGCAAAAAACCCCAAAACACCACCAGGAATTTAAAAAAACCAATCCAAACTACCATCAGTGAAACCCCGCGAAAATCTGAATTTTGGTGGAATTTTTGACGCTTCCCACCAGTTTTTGGGCGGATTTTTTTGGCTTTTTACCCACATTAAAAAAAAAAAAAAAGAAGATATTTTGATTTTTTTTTTTTGAGAAAACCACGCGGCGAGGGGAAAAGGGGGGGGGATTTGTGGGGAGATTTCTGGCGGAATTGGGTCTGCAAACAATTAAGGGAACTCATCAGCAGAAGCAAGAACAGATGTTTTATTAAAAGTGCGACACAGCGCTGGAAATATGGACAAGTCCTGCAGCAGTTGTTCTTTGTTCCCGGGAAAAAAAACCCCAAAAAACAGCGAAAATCCCAATAATTTCCCCATTCCCATCCTCATATTCCCATTTTTTTAAATGATTGGTTTTTTACCCGCCCCGGCGACGCTCTCGAGGTGAAAAAAGGGGGGAAAAACAAAGATTAAAAGGGGAAAATATCCCAAAAAATTAAAATTTCTTCCCCCCCCCCGCCCGGCTCGCAGTGTTGATGAGCTGATTTAGGGCGGGGGAAATTTGGCTTAAAAAAATCCCAAATTCGTCCCAAATTTGTGCGGTCGGGGCTTGGAAAATCCCAAATCCGCAGGAATTGGGACCAAATCCCGGCCCTGTCCCCCCCTCCCTCCCCGCGGCCGCGCGGAACGGCCCCAAACCCGCCGGTTTTGGGGGTTTTGGGGTTTTTTGGGTTATTTTGGGTTTTTTTGGGTTTTTTTTTAACCATTTGGGGTCATTCCCGGGGGGAGGGGCTCAGGACGCGCCCCCTCCCCAAAATTCCGATTATCCGGGAGGGGTGTTGGGGTGAAAATTGGGAAGTTTGGGGGTGAAAATTGGGAATTTTGGGGTGGAAATTGGGTTTTTTTGGGACGGGGAATTTTGGGGGAGCGCCCCCCCCGCGGGCGCGCGGCGGCCATTAAAAGCTTTTATTTATTCCGAATTTTCTTTTTTTCCCCCTTTTTTCTCCTCAATCTCCGCTCCTTTCTCTCCTTTTCCCTTTTTCCCTTTCCCCCCTCTATTGTTTTTAATTTTTTCTCCATTTTTCTCGCCTTTATTTTGACGTTTATGGCGCACGTGAGCCCCTAATTTATTTATTTTCCCTTTTTTTTTTTTTTTTTTTCCTGCTGAAAAACTCCTTTTATTGGGGTGAAAATCTCCTTTTTTGGAGGTGAAAAAAATCTCATTTTTTATTTTTCAAAAAATCCATCAAATCTGGGGGGACAGCGCCCCCCAAAAAAAAGGGGGAAACGGGAAAAAAACCACAAAATTCCGGGAGGAAAATTGAATTTTTTGACCTCCCGCCCAGCCTGGAGGGACCGCGTGGTTTTGGGGTGAAAACCTCGGGGTTTGGGCAGCTGTTAATTAATTAATTCTAATAATTAAATAGCCGTAATTCCCCTTTCCACACGGAATTTTGGAGTTTGGGGCTTTTTTTGGGTTTAAAATTAGATTTTAGCACCGCGTGGGGAAGGGTTGGCCTGGTTTTGCTCACTAGAAAAATCCATTTTTAACCCCAAAATCCCACCCAGAAAATAATTAATTTTACCCCAAAATCACATTCCCCCCCCCATTTCTCCAAGCAAAAATCGCAATTCAAACCCTTCTCGCTTATTTAATTTAATTTATTTGGAAGTTAAAGCTCCTAAGTGGATAAAAATGGGATTTTAGCACCCGGACGAGGCTTTTTTTGGGCCTTTTCCCATTAATTTTCCCTCATTTTTTCCCCGCCTGGAGGAGGAAATTGATTTTATTTCATTTAATTT